ACCCCTCCTTGGGTTTCCGAGGCAGTATCACTACGGAAGTAGGATTGCCCAACCTTCCTTCCGAGGAGTGGCGGGTTTGACTCGATGGCACATAACAACAACATTTTAACCTATAAACAACATCAATTAAAGCTTCTTTCTTACAAATAATCTATCCTCTAATAAAAGAGAAAAACACTGAAATTGTAAGTTTTTTAAAAAAACTTGTTATTGTAGTCTTTTATTTTTCCTTTTGATTCACCTTTGTGTTGTCTCATTTATATTGTTTCATTCACACCTGTTGTAAAATATGTTCATCATATTGTGATAACAATGATTTTATATCAACATCATCAGAAAAATCATAGCACCAATTTATTTGTGTCTCTAAGTCCCTGTGTCTCCTGGTTATCAGTTTGCTCTGAAATGCAACCTGATTAAGACAAACACAATTACTAAAGAAGGAGTTTACCTACTTCACATGATTCTTTGTCTGACTTCCTACCACCATTTATAACATTATTTTAATGTATTTTGTACCTTTCTTTTCACAAAATAGAAAAATAGGTTTTCTGAACTACTTAGTTACAGGAAAATTCTTGTAACTTTTTTATACTGAGGAAAGGATATCCTTGTGTCTTAGAAGAACAGTCTAGCAAAGAGTTTAATTCCTTAACAGTAGCTATGATAAATAAACATGACCTACTTATTACACTAAACAAATATTTATGTTTATTTATTTTAGTGGAAATAAGATAATGAAGATGAAAGTACAATCTTAGTTTAAAATAACATTTTTCTAAGGAATGGTGTAATGAGAACTCTATTGGAAGAAAATAAAAATGTCAGAAAAAATCAAATCACAAACTATAAAAACAACAAATCTGAGGAAGCAAATTGCCTTTTAAACAAATAGAGGCTGATTTAACTGTTCATAGGCTTTCTTAGTTAAAAATTCACATTTAATGAATAATCGTTAATATAAAATATCATATTTAAACAGTAATGTTTCAAGTATTTTTAAAAAGATAAAATATATTTGACTCAACTTAAGATGTACATTTATAGATGTAATGGAAGAAATAATGTAAAAATAGCAACTAAGAACATAATGAGAAAAATATAATTTCTAAGAAAAGGGAGAAAAGCTAACCCAATTTTATCTGAAAATAGTTGATTCCCTATTGTTGAAGATTTTGTTTAAATAGAGAAAAAATCAAAACAAAAGGCTTTGCAAACTCATCTATGCTTTTATTTCAGACTGAAAGGAAAAGAAGTAAAAATACACTGCAATGTAAAAATGATGTAAAATATTTCAAAATGGATAAAAATTCAAGTATAAATATAGCTAACATTATGTAAGTTGACTGAAAAACTACTAACTAAACTAATACATTTTTTAAGCTTTTCAAAAAGAGCTGTGAACTAAAGAAAACCTTATCACAATATATCCTATCCTTTGGCCAAGTTAAAAAAATATATCCTGCTTGAATGGACTCATAGTTTCTAGTGAAAACAAAATTGTTAGTATTTGTACAATTGATTTATAATAATCTAAATTTTATGTCCAAATACTGAGATTACCAAATTTATTAAATATAATATTAAAAAAATATAAAAAAACCTATTTGTAACAAACATTAAATTTTAAATCTAAAGAAAATATTTATGTGGGAAGTTTTTTAATGATATTGTTGTTTTAGAGTATTATTGAGTCAATTTTGACTCACAGTGGCTCCATGTGACATCACAGAAGTGCCCCCATAGAGTTTTCTGGGTTCTAATCTTTACAGAGAAGATTGCCACAGAGTTGTTTGGTAGGTTTGAATTGCTGACTTTTTGGTCAGTAGTGAGTGCTTAACATTGTGCCACCAGGTCATCACATATATAAGTATCATATTAAAAAGTAATTACTAATTTACAGGAAAGAAAGCATGTTTAATTTACATATAGCTCTCATTAATCACCAGTTCAAAACTCATTTTAACCTTGTTGTTGTTATGTGCCGTCGAGTCGGACTTGACTCATAGTGACCCCTCCTTGGGTTTCCAAGGCAGTATCACTACAGAAGTAGATTGCCTCATCTTCCTTCCGAGGAGTAGCTGGTGGATTTGAACCACCAGACTTCTGGTTAGCAGTCAAGTGCCTTAGGCACTACGCTACTATGGGGCCTTCAATTATTTAACAAAATTCATACTAACTAGAGTCAAAGACCTGTTCCTTTCACTATTATAGCAGACTGATATCCTAAGAAGGATGAAAATTTTAAAAAGACATTTAAACTTACCCCATTTAATGGATATGTTTTCCATCCTAGCTCTCCCAGCACAGTTGTTGTATCAAGCAACACAACTAAAATTAAATACATAAAAAAAAACCTGTATGAATTTCTCAGTTAATGTAAAATGTTAAAGTTAACTAGATAATTAATGTTAACTACCCGTACTATTACTAACTACATTAGCTTTAATAAGGTGCATTTCTTTCTAAAAGTATTTATACATATATTAAATATTAATATATAATGCTCGATATTAAGTAATGATAAAATGAATGAAGTAGTTATGTTATTTTTTAAAATACATATAATTGTGCTTAACAAAACCTAAATACATAAATTGTGTAACTAAGAATGAACAAAGTCATTTTTAATAGCACACTTTTTCACTGATACAATAACCACCTTTACTTTTTATCCCACTTTCATACATAGCCTTTTTATAATACCATGTTAAAAAATATAATATTAAAGCATACATCCACATTTTTATCTGATTTTAAATGCTCTTCTATAACTGGAAAAGTATGAATAACAATTATTTTTAATAAACCTCCAATCTATAAAGCATAGATTACATCACTAATGTATGCCCTAGGTAGTGCAGTTACTGCTAATTGATGCAAATGTGTAAGTTAAAAAAATGCTTCTTTTTCCCTAACTAAAAGTAGCTCATAATCTGGTCAAGAAAATAGAAATATAAACAAATAATTAGATATAAGCTGTTAAATTCTAAAACTATATCCTAGAAAATAACTTACATTAATATTTGGAAGAGAAATCTGTGAAGACTTCACAAAAGATGTGCAATTTGAGCTGAGCTAGGACATAGAAATAAATCTACAACCAGAGGGGATGATAATTTGTGTTTTTGTTTTTGGAATTATATTTATATATATATTAAGTAACTGAGATGTGAGTAAATCTTTTCATAGTGACTGATGAGGGGAAAATGGTTGAGGATTGTGTCTGAGTGAGTAAGATGATAGAATGAAGGCTGAAATTATAAATTTAAATCAAGTAGTGAAGTTTCCATTAGGAGCTCTGGTAGCGTAGTGCCTAAGGCACTTGACTGCTAACCAGAAGGCTGGTGGTTTAAACTCACCAACAATTTCTTGGAAGGAAGGTTAGAGAATCTACTTCCATAGTGTTACCTTCTCAGAAGCCCAAGAAGGTGTCGCTATGAGTCGGGTCCCACTCGATGGCACATAACAACAAACAACAGTGAAGTTTCCTGTAGTGTTTCCAGCAAGTATGTATGAAGGGTCCAGAATTCAGCATTTCATTATTTTT